TGATCTCTATGAAAAATACTCTGCTGTCATTCGTGAGTATCTAGACTCCAAACATATGGAAGTTGTTGCTCCTCCTAAAATTTCGACTGATACTCAAAAAATGTATTATCTACCCCACCATTCGGTTACGAAAGCTAGTGACCAAAGCGTGCGCGTAGTATTCAATGCGTCTTGTCCTACTCCACAAGGATCACTCAATCAGTTTCTTCTGTCAGGTCCTAAACTCCAAAAAGACATCACCGCAATTTGCCTTAACTTCAGAAAATTTCCATTAGCATTTTCTTGTGACATCAAAGCTATGTATCGTATGATTGTATTAGACCCCAAGCATCGGGATTATCAGAGGCTAGTATGGAGATTTTCTCCCGAGCAGCCTATCCAAGATTATCGTCTTACCCGCGTTACATTTGGAATCGCATCATCTCCTTATTTGGCACTTCGAGTCATTTTGCAACTGGCACGAGAGGGCTCAGAAGCATATCCGAACGCTTCAAGAGTTCTGCAGTCCGACATATTTGTCGACGACATCTGCACAGGAGCTTACACCTTGGAGGAAGCATTGACTCTTAAAGCAGAGCTTGTTGAGTTATTAAATTCCGCAGGTTTCGAGCTGCGGAAGTGGTCAAGTAATGATCTCAACTTTCTTAACACAATTCCGTCAAATATTCGACAAACTTCTGTTTCACTAGACACTGACACTGACTGTTTTCACAAAGTCCTTGGTCTCCAATGGGACCCAGTGAACGATGTCTTTTCATATCAGGTCAATCAAACCGACGATTCTTGTACGAAAAGATCAATTCTCTCTACCATTGCTCGTACGTTTGATCCAATCGGCTTGATATCACCTTGCATATTTCTTGCAAAGCATCTAATGCAATTGATGTGGGCAGAGGGTGTAGATTGGGATGATACTCCAACCCAAGGTCTTGTCGATCGATGGCTGACATACAAAAGTCAGTTACCCTTGATTTCACAGATAAAAATTCCTAGGTACATCTTGACACCAAATCTTCAGTCTCTACAACTCCATGTTTTCGGCGATGCTTCGGAAATTGGTTTCGGCGCATGCGCGTATTTTAGAGTCGCCGATGCAACTGGCAGTGTATTTTCCACGCTAGTGACAGCCAAGACCAAAGTTGCGCCACTAAAAAGGATCTCCCTTCCTCGCCTCGAGCTATCAGCTTCAGTTTTGGTCGCTGATTTAATTTCTTTCATCAAAATCAGTTATTCTGATGTTGGTTTTGAATCCATTTTCGCATGGTCTGACTCCATGGTAGCTCTCGGTTGGATAAGAGCGCCTCCATATAAATGGAAAACCTATATCGCAAATCGCGTATCTCACATTCAAAATATTCTTCCTCCATCTTCTTGGAGATTTGTTCCAACACAACTCAACCCAGGTGATATTGCATCACGTGGTATGTTGCCGGAAGAGCTATTGAACAACTCTATGTGGTGGAACGGCCCAGAGTGGCTACGTCGTTCGTCTGACCAATGGCCGAACAATCCAACTCCTACTCTCGACTCACCAGATATTCGGAAAGAGGAATCAAAAAGGTATGTTTACTCGACTTTTCCACAAAAATTCTTTCCTTTCTCGGATTTATTGGACAGATTTTCTTCTCTTCCGAAAATTCTTCGTATTATCACTTATGTTTTGCGTTTCATAGATCTGAAAATAAAACGTCAGTCTGTTGATACATCAGTGATGAATGAAACTGAATTACATAACTCATTACTCGTCTTTGTTCGAATCGTTCAACAGCAATGTTTTCGACAGGAATTTGATCTTGTTTCCAAAGGTCTACCTTGCTCCAAACCTATGCGCAAGTTGTGTCTTGTAATTGATACTCAGGGTATTCTCAGGGTGGGCGGAAGGCTGATTACATCCATGCTTCCCTATGAGCAAAAACACCCTGCCCTCTTACCATCAAACCATAAACTGACAGATATGATAGTCTGTTATTATCACAATAAATACCTGCATCCAGGTTTTCAAACTTTGTCCTATTTGTTGTTACAACATTTTTGGATTATTGCTTCCAAACGAGTCATCAGGAGGAATTTGTCTCAATGTTACCGCTGTTTTCGAGCAAACCCTAAACCGTACATTCCCCGTATGGGCAATCTGCCCTCTTATCGCATCACACAACTCAAGCCATTTCAGTGTGTTGGTGTCGATATGGCAGGTCCTTTTCAAATTACCATGGCAAAGCTACGAGGTGCTAAGACTCTAAAAGCATATCTTTGTCTTTTCATCTGCTGTTCAGTTCGTGCTATCCACCTTGAGTTAGTTTCGGATTTATCAACTGATGCATTTTTAGCCGCATTGCGACGCATGATTGCGCGCCGAGGAAAACCTTCTGCTCTCCACAGCGACTGCGGAACGAATTTTATTTCTGCGTCAAAATACATAGCCAATATCATGTCCGATGCAGCTAGAGAAGAGCAGATCTCTTGGTCATTTAATCCTCCCTCTAGTCCGCACTTCGGTGGCTTGTGGGAAGCCGGCGTCAAAAGCGTCAAAAAACACCTAGTCCGTGTAGTAGGTGACCGCATCATGACCTACGAAGAACTCAATACAGTTTTGGTTCAAATAGAATCAATTGTTAACTCTAGACCCATATGCGCTGTCAGTAACGATCCCAATGACGTGAGCTGTATTACACCAGGCCATTTTTTGATGTTGGCTCCAGTATCGACACTCCCTGACCCTGATATGACTTCTTCAAACATGTCGAGACTAAACCGTTGGCAGCTAATCTTGCAAATGCAGCAGCACTTCTGGCGTCGATGGCATAATGAATATCTCACAAGCCTCAATCAACGTAATAAATGGTGTGACAACCGCCCCAATCTTGATGTGGGCACATTGGTGGTCGTAAAGGAGGAAAACACTCCAGTTCTTGACTGGCGTCTTGCGCGTATAGCCGAGGTCTACCCTGGCCCTGATGGCATTGTCAGAGTGGTCAAGGTTCGTACTGCGACTGGTGTCTTTAAGAGACCTGTTGTAAAACTCTGCCCTCTACCAAATCAATAGCGTGGTAAGCACATTTTTCGCTTAAAGCATACAAGATGTTAGCACTTCTATTAGTAATATTTATTATTATAATTCTGAATTTTCATTTTTTTTTTAACCTATAAACTGTAGGTAAACATGGGTATCACTTTTTTTGGAACCGCTTTTTTGTTTTTTTTTTTTTTTTGGGAAAATACCTACTGCATTTTGGTGGGCGGTATGTTCAGTTTTCATTTTATTATTTTTCGAGTTCTTATGAATTTATATATATAAACCTATAGCTTATCGATTGGCCGCGAGTACAGCACCAAGAAGTTATTCTTCTTCCTTTCCTCGCGGTATTAAATTCTTGAACTTAACTGGCCATCTATACCCGCCAGCGCCCTTAGGCGCATGCTCCACTAAAAATCACGGTGAAGCGCTAAATCGGTCGCTCTCATCGTGTGGTTCAAAAAGTGCCGTTGAACGCATCAGGTCATACGCGTGGTGATCAACAAATATCCTCACCACTCGAGGCACAGACGACGCAGCACGGGCCGGCCCCTCCGGAAGGAAGACCAAAAGCGAGGTAGGGTCAGTTAAGTAATCCTATCTTGAGTAATTTTTGCGACTTCTTGCTGTGCCAGCTGCGGCCAAAGTCCGTTTCCGCGCGGACAAAACAGACACAGTAGTATGAGAATCCGCTAATTGTTTTTGGATAATCCGCCAAAATATCGATATATAAAGAGGACACATTCAATAAAAGTTACAAAAGTCACGCACAGATAAAACTTATATATAAGGTTATATTTATTTTTGAAATATATGCTTTCAACATAAAAGAAACATTAAAAAATTAAATAATATTCTAGAAATAACAATCTATATTTTAGGTGGCTGTGAGGTAGGTCGTCACCAAAAAGCAAAATATTTGTTTCTAACTGACAGTGACAGCAAAACTATGCTCATCTTATCATGTATGCCTTATTGGCAAAGAGAAAAACGATTAATTTAGGAAACGTTTATTAAACCAAATAAGACGGCTAAATTGCCTTAAATGGAACTACGTGTAATTATTCTATATTCTATTATATTCTAGAACTCATATCTCGGAAAATTCCCACCCATACATTGAATGAATCCATTGAATCCAAATCGAGCTAGCCGATTTTGATACGCTACAGCATTAATAATTTCTGTGTTCCTGCGAAAATATCTGTATCTGTAAATATTCCCGAATAGTCATTTTTCGCTTCGTCACTCCAAACAATAGACAATGAAAAATTAATTTTCTCATTGCAAAATTGTATTCTTCTGCCGACATCCCCTTCATGTAACTTTTCTGATACGATGTAGCTTGAATTTATGTTTTTTTTTTATGTAGTCAAAAACTTTATTTTTTCTAGTATTTGTTGCATCATCTAGTACCCGTGAAGATATGCTTAGATTTTCCAATAATTCGCTTGGCTGCATTTTCGTTAGACAAAATGTAACACTTTATCATATCATACTTTTCGAAATTTGGGTATATTTTTCCTCTAAAATTTTGTGTGACAGAGCACAAAACTCAATAAAGATTAAAAGTTATATCGTTAACTGACATTGACCGCTATATGCACGGCCTACTAATAAGAAAGTTTTATTCATTTATGAAAAAACGGAGATGTATAGAAAAAAATCTTGAGTACGCCACTGCATTTGCCTCAAAAAAATGACCTAATAGTGTTTTTAAATAAGTTATTGACAATTTTCAAAAGGGCCGAAAATTGAATAACCACAATTGGTAGTGAAGATGTCGCTATGCGGTTTTAACCACTAAATGTTTCTCAAAAATCGATCCTTTGACGTGTAAGTCGATTTTGCTCTTTCTAGTTCAGAAATAGATTTTTTGCTGTTAAAAAAGTCCAATTACGACCACCCTATATAAAAAGGGTAAATTTGGTTATTGTTGTGAAAGTATAATCTAAGAGTGACATTATCCTATACGAAATTCGCATACCTGCAGTTTTGATCAAATTATATATTACTTCTTTCGGGACGTCTCGTGTGCTGAAATGGCGTACCGTGCGTCTTGCGTTCATCAGTTCGTAAAAATGTCGCGATTTCCTCAAAGATTCTTCGACAGGAATTTCGTTGAATTTCAAAGGAACATACTGCAAGTCGCGGGGTAGTGCCGGCACTAGTTCTTCGCCGCTGTCTTCTGAATCGAACTCCGGTGCTGTCGGGCCAAAAATCACAATCAAAGCAAATCACGAACGGGAATGGCCAATAGTCGACAAATCAGAAAACGAGCATTTATAATAACAACAACAACGCAATAACAGCTCTTAAACGAATTAAAATAAAAAAACATACTCTCAGATGTCTTTGACGTTCCAAAAGGTCTTAGACAGGGCTTCTGCCTCTGACGAATACTATTTAATGAAGTTCTGAGAAAATGGAGAAGAGCATGCAATGGAATGGACATCCAACTAAATAAAGGCACAAGTATCTATACGCTCTATTTTGCAGAAGATCAGGCTGTACTATCGCAGGATAAAAAGGATCCAGAAAAAAACCAGTATCTATGCATCGAAAGGGGGAAACAGAAGATATCGACATAGGCTAACAGGTTGAGATTAAGGCTTGTACAGACTATACTTGGGAACGAGAATTGAAAGCAGTGGTATTACAGAAACGGAAATAGAGCAGAGGATTATAAAAAGAAAACAAATCTCTGGAGATAAAAAGACATAGACATAGCAAATCAACAGAAATCTAGAACATCAATATCAAGACTAGAAAGAATATGGAATGAAGAAATAAGGGAAATTATGAAGACAGACATAAGTATAATCGATGCAATACAAGGGCGACAGTTGACACACGACAGAATATAGGATCTCATGTCTGAACGTAACCTACAACTAGCAAGCTAGGAATCGGATGACATAAGACCCTGCTAAACCGATATATACAGGGTTTTTCTAATCGAATGTCAATAACTAAGGGTGCGATTTTTGGGTCCATTTTAAAAATAAATTGCGAAAATGCGAAAAATGCAAGCACTATATTATGGAATTAACCTATAAAAAGAAAGTCACTATTGAATTACTGAAACAAAATAACGAGTTGCGTGAACATAAAAGGGAGTTACGTGAAAATAATAGTTTAAGATCATCATATGTATATCATCATATCAAAATACCAAAAATATAAGAATGCGCCTGTTTGATAATAAAACCAAAGCATAATTTTAAAGAAGATGCATTGAGTGTAGTCAAAAAGCAAGTTTCAGCCAAAACAAATGCCAAAGTTGAAAAGATTAATAAAGCTATTATTGGATTGTCATTTTTAAGGTGTATTAGTGAGAAAGACTCTGAAAATATCGTCAATATCACGAAGTGATAATAGTGAAATATTAACAACTAAAGCATGTGTTAAGCAAAATCCGCAAATAAAAATAACCAATATAACGGAAGATATTGATAAGGAAGAATACGTAGAAATCAATTACCATCAAATAGTATAAATATCGTGTACAAATATAAACAGAGAAACAATCATACTGCTGCTTTAGCAGAAATAACTTCGAATGCATATACAAAAATTATGGAGACCAAATCTGTATTTATTGGGTTTGAAAATTTGCAGAGTGTATGATAATTTCAATATCAAACGGTGTAAAAGTTGTTGCGCATATAACGATTCCCTGAAAAAGTGTAAAGACTTTCTGATAACTATGATGCTACAACATGTACCTCAGATATAAAAAAATGTATTAACTATAATAATGCTAACAAGTAAGTACCTAACCAAGAAAAGGTCTATCGATCATTCTGCTGATGATATTTATAACTGTGAAAGCTTTAAAATAAAATGGGAACAGTATGTCAGTGATACAAACTACCCGTGGAAGCCAGATCCTGCATTTAAGTAAGCTATAAATCTTTATATAATTATAGTGGTATAAAATTTATAAAATAATATTTCAATTTCAATAATCAAGGTTAATCGTGTGAGTCTGAAAAGAGCTACCAGTAGTAAATATCTAGGAATAACTTACTGCTATAATATAAAATGGGATGTTCACGTGGCTAACAAAGAAAACAAATACTTAGTATATGTTTTTTATAGACTTAAGGAAGTACTAACAAGAAAGCAGTTATTACAAATTTATTATGGTCTTTTCCATATTGTCGCCGTGTATGCAGTCATAGGCTGGGGAGGTCTCTACAGTTCTTCGTTTGACCCATTGGATCGGCAGAAGCGTATTCTTAAAATTATTGGAATAAAGGAACAAGACACAGATAGACCACTGAGTATCAAACAAGCTTATGTGGTGAATTCAATGATGTATTTAAAGTTAATTAAAAAAAGAATATATACAAAATCAAATGAACACTCGTAATAAAATTAATATTTTGCCCCGACACCAACTGGCTATTGGACAAAGAAGCTATGTGCATTATGCAGTAAAATATTTTAATGAATTACCTAATGAACTGAAAAATCTCAATGTTGACAAAAAAGTACATAACGGAAAGGTTAAAGAAAATATTAGAAGTGTTACAATCTAATAAATAAAATGTAAAAATAAAAGCCAAAATATCTAAAAGTTTTTTTCAATTTGTAAAATTATAAAAAGTAAAATATATTTGTGTATAATTGGCGAGGTGCAACTCACAACCAATATTAAGTACGTTTAAGTTATAATAAGTAGTTGTAGTTGTAAGTTATGTTAGGGCCAACCTGCGTACGGTCAGTATTTGTAAAAGGAATTTTTGGCAATTTTTGGCAATAAATATTATTATTATTATTATTGTTATTATTATATGTCCCAAATATCTTAAGTTTTGAAATACAGGGTGGTAAAGTTTTCAAAAATAAAATATATTTTTTAATATTTCAAATGCCTCTTTAGATATTTTAATGGAATTTGGCACACGTATACTATGTATTAAGAGACATTTTTTTTAAATACACCAGTGGCGAGCGCATGGAATCTCACTTGTCTATTTTGGCAGACATTGATAGTACGCCATTGATTTCTCTTAAAAATAAAAATTATTCTTACAATTTCCAATCAATTTTAAAGAAATTTTATTTCTTGATTGTTCAATTTGATTTACGGTTTTCGCTTATAAAAATAAAAACCTTATGGTCATAACAATATCGTTCATATGACAACAGCACCTAGAGAAATTAGATATAATCGCCAAGCTTCCGGCGCACTGCCATTAGTCAAACCGTACATAAAATGCATATCAGCCAACTCCTCATTGGTAAACTCGACAATTAAACTTAAAATTAACAGTGCGCTGATGTTTTAAACACCAAATTAATAAGACGCGAAGAACTAAAATTTAGAAACTGACAGACACAAACTACTACAATGATAAAATTTAATTATGAAGATTTCAAGAATACACCTCAGAATTTACCTACTTCATATTCGTACTTTGATTGTTTGAAATATTTTAGTAAAAGAGATGGACAATTAAGTAAGGAATGATAATGATTATAATTCTCTGTGTGCTGCCATATTGACGATATTGTTATGACCATGCCGAGAAGAGCTTTTTATTTTTTTATGCGAAAACCGTATAGATTACCATCAATGTCTGCCAAAATAGACAGGTGAAAATCCGAACGCCCCCAACTGGTGCATATAAAAAAAAATGTGGTACACTGAATAATGCCTTTTAATACATAGTACGTGATTGCCAAATTAATATATTTTATTTTTTAAAATTTACCACCCCGTATCTCGGAAGTTAAGAAGTTTAGGGCACATGTTTTCCTTTTATAATGGACCCAAAAATCGCCCTCTTAATTATTGACAATAAATTACAAAACACTCTGTATAGTACAATAAACCTGTTATGTTACATAATATTTCCCAAATCGTTTTAAATTATCGTCTCCTATTTTTTGATATACTTTTATTAAAAATGTAAGTTTACTCAAACTATTAAGTGTGGCAGCAACTAGCAGTTCATGGATTTGCAATACCCAAGGAAAACGATATCAACAAATACCCCTAGATTTCTATGGATAAAACCGGAAGATAGAAATATAAAAATTATATAGTAAATAGAATGAAGACATAATAAATACGTATGTTATATAGTAAAATATTTATTGAATAAATATTAATATAAATGAAAGCTTTATCATAAAGGGAAGGACCTTGACCCTCATTAAAACAATGAAAATTAGATTTACAAGGGTTTATCAGTACATAGGGGTATTTTTATTTTAGTAGTTTCTACACTTTAGAAATTTTAAAATCATTTGCGCTTTGCCATTAGAGGTGATACAGTCATTATTTGTTATGTTTGGTGTAAAAAATTTCGACAACGGAACTCAAAAACAAAGTGACATTTGAATATGCGATGCAATGCGTATTCTACTAATTAGAAACAAATCTGCTTGAAGAAATATCGGACAACGTTAACTACGACATTCCTGAAATTTTAACATTCAACAAAATTAAATAATCCGCTAGTAATTTATGGAAGTTGCCACTGGAAGGACCGTGGAGTTAACAGGCATTCCAAAGTCAACCTTGCATCGATTTCTTTACAATGATTTACTAGAAAGGACCAAACGATGTGACAATGTAAGAAATTAATCAGATTAAATCACTTGAATCACTGCAACGAAAATTAAAAGAAAATAGTCGATAAATATTATTTCGATAAGACTCATTGATCCAACACCCACGTCACTCTAAAGAAAGGGTTCTTCATCGAACTGCGTTTTGAACGTACAGCCATTATGGACACTTTTACGGCGTATCTCGCGGGGTTTACGCGACACTGTACTACTTTTTTGTGAAATTAAAAATGCCATCAACAAAATTAAAACTCTTGGTTTTTGAGATACGGGGTGAAATCCAAAACTATCCATTTTGAGACCATTAATGTATCTCCGTTATTGAAGAGTTTAAAAAACGTTCGTATAGCGTTTTTTCCGTAGTATCCAGTTGGGTAGTTTGTTTTTGCTCTAACCGCTTTTTAGTTATGAAGCAAACATATATTTGTTTAAATGGAACAACCCATATATTATTTTTACATTAATTAGGAAATCATTTAAGCTTTTCAAAAATATATATTACTATAAAGTTGTTTTGAAAATTAAGCTCAAAATCCATTTTTTTTTACCTTATTTTAAGCAATAGGTCATAGTAAATTAACTAAATCAATTAAAAATAGGATGCATGTAAGAGACACTTTACTTAATTTGGAACATGGAAACATATTTGTTTTAAATAATGTCTAATTCATATGAAAGTAGGCATGACTAATCTATTAAAAACAAAAAAGAAATTGTGTCAAAAATTTACGAGACTGTCAGTTTTAAAATTTTTATTACCTATCCATTTGTTCTCTCTGTGTTCATTTCATGTCAATTAATTTTCTAAAACTATTTATTCAATCGCGTCCTAAAAATTATTTGAATGAGGATAGGGAGCGGTCGGACAATGTTACTTTTCAAGTTAGGTAATTTTTAAACGCCCAAATACTAGAAACGACATATAGACGACAGAGAGCCACCATTTAATTTTTAAAAAGGCCCAACAAGGAGGTTTGGGGTTTCCAGAATTACTCGAAACGTTTCCCTTGGTATATTATAATACCTTCAGCAAGATGGTGCCCCAAGTCATAACTCTGAAGACTGAAGACCATTTTTAGATGACGTCTATCAGATGGCCTCCACGATCCCCGGATTTTTCAGTTTTACACTTCTTTTTATGGGGATATATACAAAAAAAGAATATAAAACACGATGCAAGTCTGAAGCAGAACTTTGAGTGGCAATTGATTTAACTTTCGAAACTATACGAAGGAGACTAAATGCCTTTAAAAAATTAAGAAAAATGTATGAGTTTTGCATTCGAGAAAATGGTCTCCAATTTGAACAGCAGTAATTAGTTCATAATTATGGCCTACTGCTTGCTACAAATTACAAAATTACAAAAAAAAATTGAGGCTAATTTTCAAAACAACTTTATACGAAAGTTTAAATGATTTCCAATTAATATAGAAAATAATATACATTTTAAAAAATATGTGTTTGCTTCATAACTATTACACAGTTAGAGCAAGTAAAACGTAAACTAGCCACTGGGTTCTACGGAAAAAATCCTTTAATAGCGTTTTTTAGACTCTTCGATAATTTAAAGAACAACGGAGATACGAGGATAATCCCAGTGTCGATAGTTTTGGATTTCACCGTGTATCTCAAGAACCAAGAAGGCCATGATAATTTTGTTGACAGCATCTTTAATTTCACAAAGAAAGTAGTACGGTGTCGCGTAAACCCCAACTTTCTATCTTAAAAAATAACCGAGGTACCCCATAAAAGTGTCCCTACAGGGAAAAGTATATTCATTTTACGTTCAGCACAAAACATTACACATCATAACACATAACAATGTGTGATAGTGCTAGTTATCCCAGCACTAGCTAGAAAAGTACCAACAATGAGAAGCAAAGAGTTCGTTAATTAGCCTTATTATTTTGAAGATAATCATACAAAAAAGCAACTAGCTGAACTGACAAGAAATAAATCGTATGATAGAATTTATTTTGTAGACGACGTCGTACAAAAATCTGCCACTTAGATTACCCCCTATTCACTGAATCCTATATAAATTATATGGGTCGAATTAAATGACAAAGTTAGACGCAATAATATAATACCAAAAATGTTCATCCATGTAATTGATCTAATTAATATCAGAGAGCAGTTAGAGAAAATGTGTTAATCGTGTACTTGAAATTGAAAATAATTACACAAAATCATTAATTACACCCTTGGATGATAGTGATAGCTCAGATTCAAACTATTCTAACGACTAATATTATTTAATACTTATATTAAAATAAAATCCAGTCTATTCCGTTCAAAAAAAAATACTTTTTCAAGTCATACTTTTGTGACAAGCCCTGTATAATGCTTATAATCCATTCCACACTCTGTTACAGTGGGATATTGACATAAGCTATTGAGTTATACTGTAGTTATGATTTCTGTCAAAGTCGACTTTGACATGTCTTTTCGCTTTCTTCTTCTTGCTGGATCTTCATAAATTTTTCAAAAGAAAATGAACTGTCTCTTCAACAATATCAAATCTCTTCATCTGTAGGATTTAGTTGATCATTCGAGCAAGACTAAGACTACCCTTAACAAAGCGTATGTTTTGAGACGATATTACATAGTTTAAACATGAAAGGGGGCACAAATAATAGTATATTAAGCAACAAGTGCGGTAAACGACATTTGACTCACGAGTTTATTTAATATTTAATTAATTAATATACGAGTGACTTAAAAGTTTACCAAACCTGTTGCATACTAGACTTTTTCTACGACACGATACATTTTAGCCAAACAACACGAATACATTCACTGACATGGCAGTCAGAATTGACAAACGTCAAATTCAAGGCTTGGGAAATATCTCCGAAATCATCCGATTACTCCCAAACCCGTGCGGTAAAAATGTCCGAAGTGGTTCGGATCCGTGATAAATAAAACTGACGCTTCCCGCACGCTAGATAGGTGTATAATTATGTATTTTTTCTACTCCCGTCTGTAAAATAACTAATTACTCACGGATCTAGCGTGCGGGAAGCGTCACTGTACCACGTCAGTTTCATTTTCCATGAATCCGAGTCACTTCAGACATTTTCGGAGTTTTTCGCTTTTTCGGAGATATTTCCCACACTTTGAATTTTGAAGTTTGACAATTCTGACGGTCATGTCAGTGCATGTATTAGTGTTGTTTTGCGAAAATGTACCCAAAAACTAAAGGTCGTAGAAAAAGTATAGTATGCAACACGTTCGGTAAACTTTTTAGCTCAATCTTTATTAAAAACTTGTTCGATAATATACCATTACCGACGAGAGTAGAAAAATATTTTTAATTATATTACGTGCCTAACTAAGTATACGTGGTGCGAGGACAAGCATTATCGGAAATAAAACCCGATAAATTCAAAAAGGCTTAACGTATAAACTTGGGGTCGTTAAAAATGGCTTTCAATCGTGCTTGCGACTGCTAACGTTAAGACTTTTTTGAGTTCATTAGATAGTTAAACTTTAATAATTTCGTGAGACATTGCCTCGTTAAGATTCGTTGTGGAAAATAATTTCCACCATTTTCTCTTGGTCGGTTTACTTCATTATATTTTTCAAATTTGTAGGATCGCCTATCTCCCTAATACAGTGCTTCCTTGTACTTATTATGTCAGCTAATATGCATGAGATGTGTCTGCATAGCCTGTAACTCCTCCAACCTTTTAGAATCGCGGCATATTAGAAATGGTGATTTCTAGGAAAAAATTACAGGAAATATTTGGGTAAGTAATTTTGCGATCTACAATTTATATTTAAGATATTTTTTGATAAAACTTACCGACTTCGAGGAAAATAAAAGAAACAAATTTTTCGGACAGATGAAACATATTTATGTCTAATACTGACCTGGATTCTAGGATAGAATATAAGAAATTCTTACCAACTGATTTCGTTTCGGTAACTGTTTTATCCACAGTGCTTGTTTTGAATTTTTTGTAAAAGGCGTGACCGATTCTCACTGCGAGGTATATAACGAAACCAATTGAAAAATGCCTCCAATACATTTCGAAAACCATTTTTCTTTCTTCAACTGCGAACCCGCGTTGTAAAACTTCTGCGCCGTTTTATTTTTTTCTTAGGCTGGCCCACTTTCACTTGCTGATAACACTGATAGCACAATTAGTTTGTTTTAAAATATTTCACTCACGCGCGTATTGCACGTTGACTTACTTTGCAAGGCAACGGATGAAATTCTAATGATAATTCATTTAACATGAATATGAACAACTAAAAACTGATACGATATCAAGATCATATCTTTGCCTATATGAACGCGTTGCGTGCTCTGCATTCATAAAACGAAAGAAACTAGAAGGTGTGTTTAAAAAGTTACCCTTTGCATGAGCATGTTATGTAGAGCGATTCATGTTGGTTGGTAGCTTAGGCGTTTAGGGTGAATAAGAGGTAAAACTGTTCTGAAAATGTAATGTTTATATCGTTTTACTATCCCATATGTTCTATATAGGAAGACAATAAAAAACAACTTCAAATCATGTTCTTATGTCCAAATACTAAGGATTTAGAAATAAAAGCTAGCAAACTTTACAAAATTTGATAGTTAATTTGGCAAATATAAATATGTTGGAGAGAAGTATTTACTCGAATGAAGAATTGATAATATGGTTTATTATTCACGGTGAAATCCTATACTATTGCTATTACCTCGTAAACCCTATGGATCACCCGTTATATAGCATGAACAAACTCAAGGTGCCACTATTGCTAATTTGTTTTATTATTGAAATTATAGCATTTTTCAGCTGATTAAAAGACACTATGTATTTGTTTGCCAATGGATAAATGTTCGAATATAAGATTCGCCACAACCTTCCTAAGATCTTCGACATTATCATAAAGAAGCGTTTTAAATGTGCCCAAAAATGTATTGAGCGCGAAGGCGATGCATTCTAAAATTTAATGTGGCAATAACGAAACCAAGTTGCCTTACTCTACTTATTTTTATCTCATTCCATGCAAAAAACGAACAAATAGAAATGAGCTCATAACTCTTATAGAAAATACCATAACAACATTTTGTCTTGGTAGACAAATATACAGAGTGTTCCGAAAAAGATTTCAGTAACGGATCGCTCTACATTCACATGTTACTTGTATCAGAAGTTACGTCAAGGATTACCGCTAAATGCCAATTAAATTCAACAAATTAAACTAGCCAAAGCTTTTTAAATAATTTATTTATTAGACGACATATCGAGGACAATTACGAAAAATACATCAACCAGAGGGAAAATAAAATCAAAATTCAAATATTTTTTAATGAAATGTCCACAACCTACTGTGATACTATTTACAAATCTTCTGGATTCCTCTTGCGAAGGTTGCTGATAAACTGGACTTGTTGACGTTTCGCCAATCATCTTTAGTTCTGATTTTCAGTTAAGCTCTGAAGAAGTCAATAGGGTGATTGGGGAAAGGTCAGCAAGTTCAGTTTATCAACAACCGAAGTAGAAGGAATTCAGAAGATTTTTTGATTCTAATTCTGTAATTTGTTTGTCAAACCAGATTTTTTCAATCCTATAATGGACAAATTACCTAGAAACTTTGTTATAATTTCAAAACCATTTTTCAATTCAGGTGTTGACTATGTAGGTCCTTTTAATGTCAAGGTTTCAAGGAATAGCAAATTTTTTAAAGTATATCTTTGTATTTTTATATGTTTTCTTACCAAAGCAGTTCATTTAGAAATGGTTAACAACTGAAGCATTCTTCCTTTCTTTAATGCAATCTATTGCCAGAAGAGCAAAATATCAAAATTTGTATTCCGATGATAGTTCAAATTTCGTGAAAGATATTCTCAAAAATTGTAAATTAAAGTCAAAAGTAACTGAATATCTATCATTTGATCAAATAAATTGGAGTTTTATACCACCAAGGTCTCCACATTTCGGTGGAATATGGGAAGCAAATGTGAGACTGGTATAATATAATTTAAGGCAGGTTGTAGGTATTTCCATCTTGACCTTTGAAGCAGCGTCAACAAATTGAAGCCTGTATCAATTCACGTCCAATTTGTCCAAGATCAAGCGACGCATCAGACTTTTCTCTATTAATACCCGGACACTTCCTTAGGAAGCCGACTGAGCAAATAGTTCACCAGTTTTGGCCTAGATGGTCAAAGAGCTATCTAAGTAGTTTATACCAAACTAAAGGTAGGAGACATGATACTACTAAATGATGACAATCTTCCACCATTGAAGTGGTAAATTCGCCGCATTAAGGCATTTCACCCAAATGAAATTTTCAACCGTTCGGTTACGAAAATTGGTTTATTACGATATACAGATTATTATTAGTTACTATAGTGTATTGATTGACTTTTCGAAAATTTTCTATAATTTTCCGTATAGTTTTTTATTTTTTAACAAATTGTTAATCTCTCACTTTTGTCACTTTAGTTTAGTGTCTTATTGAAAATCACGAGCTTTCGAAGTTTCGTCGTTCCGCAGCAGCAGCCGACTCAACGGTGTAAATGGTTAATTTTGTTAACAATGTTTTAAAACTTACATATATTTAAATTACAAAGCACAATCTAATTAACCGTTAATTTTGGTTGACTGTAGTAACGCAAATTCCGTACAATTATGAATGTGGATTTTAGTATTTTCATGTCTTTTTATTTTCAAACTTAAATGCTCTAATTAGACCGATGACCCCTATTTCCGTCAAAGCTTTATCTCAAGCAAAAAGAATGCAGGGAAAACAATAAGGAACATTTTTCTATTACATCCACAAATCCATTCGTTTCGTTTCGTCACCAGATTTTTCAATGGTATTATCTGGTAATTGCCTACCTTTTCCTTCTAATTCTAACTTTTCTTCATATGAATATTATTACTATTATTAATTATATTATAAATTGTCAGAAATATACAAAACAGATGCATATGCACTATGATAGGCTTCGCCGAAGAATATTCATCCCTTTTCGTTCTAGTGGTGGGAAAAGGGGAGGTAAACCCCCTTACAGTTTGACCACCCGAATCGATAATAGTTGTAGTTGGTGTAAGCAGCAAGGTTTCCACCCCCTAATTAAGTGCGACAAGTTTTTAGAGATGGAAGTACCACAACGCCATGCCTTCGTTAAGAAGGAACGCCTTTGTTTTAATTTAGCTCTGATTAGTCTGTGGTCACTACCTGTGCGGAATTTATAGAAAACGCTTACATCTTTTATTATTTGTTTGTGGTAGTTCCATTAGGAGATTTCCATGTCCATTTTATTTTTTGGTTCTTCTTAAAGAATGTATTGGCTATGCACATGTTCTGATAGTGGGCTAACTGCCTCAGTCTCTCACCTCTTTCATTTTTGTCACCAAATCCAAAGTTTGCTACAGCTAGCTCGTTGTTTTTTTTCTACTGTGCCGTTGAAGCCAAATATTAGGTACTCTTGGGCTATTTCATTGTAGAAATCCTCTACTTGTTCGTCTGTATGACATGGTTGTGGCGTAGACCTGTGTTATTTGGATTAAGTATTTTTCCGAAAGTCGTAGGGTCAGGATGGCTACCCGGTCTGAGATACTTGTCGCATTAATGATTTGGTCTTTCCATGTCTTCTGGATTACGCCACTTGTTCTGGTTGTTTGTGTACGTTGGTAGTAGAGGATGTTGCCTGATTCCAGTTCCAATAGTTCCTCTCCCTTTTGTCTGACTTCGCTGAGACCTCTGATATCCCACTTAATATTTTCTGCCTTTTTTTCGAGTTCTATTGTTTTGGGCTTATTTGAAAGTGGTCGGCAGTTATAACTAGCTACGAATAGTGATGTTGTCTTATGCTTAGACTGCTTAGACTCGGCGGATTCGTAGCACCCTCTGCGCTTCTTGCTAGTTCCTAGGATCTACCCATCCCAGGACTATTAGGGCCTACGAAGAATGAGGGCCCTGGATTATCTTTGTGTCTCATGCTTGGTCTAATTGTATGGCATCTCTCCTTCCAATTGAACTAACCGCGATACTTAATATACAAATATTTTTTGGAAGAATGAACCATCCACAAATTACCGCAGACCAACGTCGTTCCATTTTGTTAAAGAAACAAAATCTTATGTTCCTAATTTTGTTAAATCCATAAATAATGAAATATATGAATTGGTAGATGCTAGAATTCAATTTCCCAGTAAAACATTTTATATAAAGCACCATTGATGGAAAAGCCTGCCAAATTTTAACAGGTACGTCGTGTGTGGAGCTAAAACGTCTGAAATGAACAATATGCAAATTATTGAACAGCGATAAGCAAATCAAGAAGCATATAAATACGGTTTATCACCCCTTCATGCGCTAATAGGATTTATGGAATGTGTGCTTCATGTTTCTTACCCTTTGGGATTTATCAAATAAAACTAAAGTGAAAGAAAAATCGGAACTGTAAGAACTCCAGGAATTGAAGGAGTTTTAAATTCGATTGATGAAAATACTAGAAAAATTGATTTGGAAATTTTGTCTAGAAGAAGTCTTCTGTTTTTTTTTCTGAGGGACGCTGGTTGGTAACTAAAAACTAGATCTTTTATTTTTCTCAAAAAAATGTTTTCTGCAGTGGCGAATAATTAACCAAAATAATATTTGTTCATAGACGGTCAGTGGCACACCACTGATTAAAAAAAAAAGAACATTCATTTATAAGCAGATTTGATCTCTTATTTTTTTTGTCGGTCGCACGGTTTTCACTTAAAAATTAAAACTAATTTCTCTGCGTGCTGTCATATTAACGTACATCCGAATCCGAATAGCATTGAAAAAACTCAAGAAATTAAATTTATTTAGAAATGATGATTATGTTAAGAGACATCAGTGGAGTACTTTCAAGTGTTGAAAAAACAGACAGGTGAAATTCCGCACACCCGCCACTGGCATATTAAATAAACAGTGTTGCACTAAATAACGCCCCGTGATACATTCTATATGTGTTCCGAATTCCATTAAAATATTCAAAGTGGGGTTACACATATTAAAAAAATGTATTTTGTTTTTGTAAACTTTACCACTCCGGGTCTCAAAAGTTAGCACTGTAGTAACTGAATAAAAAATATCATTATTGATAAATAAAATAAATTTCAAAATTACCATTGTTATTTATTAAGTTTATTATTACTTCCTTCAAAAAATTTGATAATAAGGATTTTTTTTGGCACCTCGGTATATTAACAAATGTATAATGTTAAAATATTAAATATGCTAAAAAATATAAACTGATTCAATAATTTTATCGGGAATATTAAAATAAACGTTTTCGCCACATACGTCCATAAGAACGAACAACTGTCGGTCGCAGTCACTAGGCCTAAAACATTGTATCGAAGAACGCACTATACATGACCAGCCAACAAATGTGGCTGAAGTTAGATTTGGATTTGGATTCGGATTTGCGAATATTGCAGTGGACCATTTCGTTGTTTACCTTAATTTAAAAAACGTATTCCTGTGGAAATGCTGGGAAATTAAGGACGGAAATATTGTAAGGGAACTCCCAAAAACCTTATTCAATGTTGCTATACAGAAAATAACCCCTTTTCCGTTCGCATCATACCAAATAATTCGTTATATTTATTTCGCAATTTCAAAAAAATCTGACGTTTTCCGAGATATTGAATTATACCATTAAAGAGCCACTGAAGAGAGCTTCAAAATAATGTATTACTCAACCACATTGAAACGGTCGGGAAGATATAAAACTATCCCCAATAATGAAATAACCAAATATTCGTTTTATTTATTTCGGAATCTCAAAAAAACCTGACGTCCCAGATATTGAATTAGACCCTTGAAGAGCCACTTAGGAGAGCTTCAAAATGATGTACTACTCAACCACCTTGAAGCGGTCGGGAAGATATAAAACTAACCTCAATAATGAAATAACCAAAAATTCGTTTTATTTATTTCGGAATTTCAACAAAAAACCTGACGTTGTCCGACAGATTCAATCAGACCATTAAAGAGTCACTTGGGAGAGCTTTACAACGATGTACTACTCAATCACCTGGCAGCGCTCGGGACGATAAAAAACTACCCCCAACAATGAAATAACCAAATATTCCTTTTATTTATTTCGGAATCTCAAAAAAATGTGACGTTTTTCCATATATTGAATTACACCATTGAAGAACCACTTAGGAGAGCTTCACAATGATGTGCTACTCAACCACCTTGAAACCATCGGGAAGATATCCCCAATTATGATATGCCCTAAAATTCGTTTTCAAATGGTTGTCATTTTTAAAATATTAAGTTGCATATCCTGTATACTTTTTCATGTTTTATTGCTATAGTTAATTTTAAGTTAATTTTCAAAGGGCGTATGTGCCTGTCTCTTTTTGTTTTTGTATTACTTGAAAAAATTGTACAACCAGCATAATAATTATTGCTCCTAATCTGGCAAGGAATCAAATTGTTTTTTCTTTAAATTGGACACCCTGTTTCTCTAAACGGCATCAAGTATAAAATTTAGTCCCCTGTCGAATATTAACGTTCCCTATAATGGAAATATTTTCTAATGAAACGTAATATGCAATTGATATTAATCCCAGGAGCTCAAATTTGTGCGCATATATTGTTAAATGAACCAAAAATACAATAAAATTAAGAAAGTCTTCTGAATATCACGAGCATCCATTATCGATGGACGTGTCTTTGCAAAAATAGCAATTCTGCAAGGACTAAAAAGAGCGTGGGCGCTTTTCCATATAATATAGACATCGATATTAAAATTACCTATGATGATTTTTAAAAAATTCATAGCCTTTTAACTCAAAGAACTTTAATTTGCTGTATGCAAGAATAAAAATTGCAAAAAGTTCAGGTTTGACTATTTTGGCAATGCCACTTATGTCAGGAGGATATTAATGTATTTCGATAAACTGGAGCAAAATCATCGTAGTGACAATCAAGTTGCTTATAGTTTAAAAGGAGAAGAAAGACGTTTAGTTAAAAAATGCTGATGATGGTGCTTTGCAAGATGGTAATATGCACATTGTAAAGTCCTTAGCCGTTTATCAAAAGGCTGGTTCTGAGGCAAAATCTGATTTAGACTTAAGTGCAAATTCTTATTTAGATTTGCTTTTGAGGGGAGCTGAAGACGGTTCTTTACGAAACTACATTCAAAGCCCTTCTGGGGAAACCGAATATTATTTATTTAGTAAGCGACAAGTGGAACTATTGGCTTCTATGAAATAAGAAAATCTGAACGATTTAAAATCAAACTTTGGTGATTTTGTTGCGACCCTAAAGAACAATTAGATGATGACATCGAGCACTGTAATGTGGAACTTTAAGCACGAGGAGGAATGCCATGAAAGAGGAAGATTCAGAGTCACCATTTTATTTAATCTTTTCTAAAAAATTTAACCATGTTTCTGAAACTATTGCCAATAATCGAGAGATTGATGATGACAATAGTCTCAAAATAAATCCTTTATATTCGAAGGAGTTTGCAGTATAAATTTTAAGTTACTGTTTGCCATACGCCCCTCGACAAAGTAATTTGTGAAATTTCTAATATTCAGGCAAGAAATCGTCAACAAAGAGGTTCTCGAATCAGAATTGCACCAAAAAGTTGGTCGGCTTGTCGCCAAAAAGTGGGAAAAAATTACTACCGAAATCAAATCAATTTGCAATAGTATTGGAACGAAACCTAAGAAACGACGAATCCAAAATTTGTCATACGAGTTGGATAAACCTCTTGAAAATGAAATCTGGCTACCAAAAAAAGAAAAATAAAATTATTTTATGTTAAAAAACTTAGACTTTGCACTGCAAAAGCAAACTACTAATTTGAAAGCAACGCACACTTCTCAGTATGTGAGCACTAAAGCAGGTTTGGACCCCGTCAGACTAGAAGCCAATTTAGTCTTAACAGGGATCCAAAAATTGATATAATTGTTACTATCTCAGACTCCTCAGATAGTGAGCTTAACATGGAGCCATTTTCACAAACCATGCCCCGCAGAGATTTTTATCTAAATAATGGACTTCTTTTTAGTCCCAGTTTGTTCAGTACAAAACGAATTTTTGCTAGCACTTTACAATTTAAGATGAAACACAGTTAAATTATCTAGTAAATCATTTCTAAGTTTGCAATCAATTTATGACACCTTTCTAAAAGAACCAGAAGAAAATGGCTAACTGACGACTGTATTGATTGTGCTGCATTCTCGTTATTAAAAGGAAATTAGAATATAACTTATATAGATACAATTTCTTCTCAAATAATTTTTGCAACGCCCACAAAAATCTTACATGAGTAGTACATCATTTTGAAGCTCTCCTAAGTGGCTCTTTAATGGTCCAATTCAATATGTGGGACAATGTCAGATTTTTTGAGATTCCGAATTGAATAAAACGAACATTTGATTATTAGGCGTAGTTTTATACCTTTCCGACCGCTTCAAGGTGGTTGAGTAGTACATCGTTTTAAAGCTCTCCCAAGTGGTTCTTCAATGGTCTATTTTAGTATCTGGGACAACGTCAGGTGGATGGGTAATACATCATTCTGAAGCCCCCGAAGTGACTCTTCAATGGTCTGGTTGAACACCTGGGACAATGTCAGAAATAAATTGGTTAAGGCTTTCGCGGCCCGTTGATGAGCTATTATCTTGATTCGGGTTTAAAAGCCGTCGTCGGTTGGAATTACTTCCTAACGTTTCGCTAGCACGAGTGGCGAGCTTCTTCAGAGGTCCTTCCATCTCCGATGTTGGACATAGACTGATGATTTCTCTTGCGCAGGTTGTATTTATGCCGATTGGTGGTGGGCGGGGCTTGTTCCGCTTCGGTTGGTCTCGGGATATCGATCGGTACTGCTCGGGCGTTCCTAAGGATCGGGTTCCAGATTTGGTTGAGTCTAGGGGTCTCCTCCTTTCTGTTGAAATTGTGTGGGTGTTTTTGTATCTCAATGGCTTCCCTGACTAGTCTGTTGTGATAGCCGTTGACCGATGCTAGTAACTTACAGCTCTCAAAGTGTATTATGTGTTCCCCGCTGCCCAGTGCGTGTTCAGCTACTGCAGACTTCTCTGTCTGTCCTAGCCTGCAGCTTGCTTTATGCTCCTTAAGTCTCGTTCCCATTGATCTCTTGGTAGTTCCGATGTAGACCTTTCCGCATGAACACGGAATGCGGTAGACTCCTGCAGCTGAAAGTGAGTCCCTCGTGTCCTTCGCTGACCTGATGGTCTGCTGGATTTTCTTTGTAGGCTTAAAGATTGTTTTGATGTCGTGTCTTTTCAATACTCTGCCAATCCTGTCGGTGACACTCGGAATATACGGCAGATATGCGTGGGAGGTGGAGGGTCGTTGTTCGGTATCCCGTGATCTTGATGATCTTGAGTTCATTGATCTCTCGATCTCCCTCTTGCTGTAGCCATTTGCCTCGAACGCAGTTTTCAGGTGTTCAAGTTCCATCTGGAGGTTCTCCGGTTCGCAAATCCTTCGGGCTCGTTCTGTCAGGGTTCTAATAACCCCATACTTTTGGCTTGGGTGATGGTTGGATAGAGCATGCAGGTATCTGTCCGTATGGGTTGGTTTTCTGTAAACTGTGTGGCCCAGCTTGTTACCTCGCTTCCTCACTAGTACGTCTAAGAATGCAAGTTGTTGGTCATTTTCAGTCTCCATAGTAAACTGGATGCTGGGATGCTGACTGTTGAGATGCTGCAGAAAGTTGTTGAGCTTGTCCATACCATGTTTCCAAATCACGAAGGTGTCATCCACGTACCGGAACCACGTTGCTGGCTTGTACTCTGAGGTCTCGATCGCTTTTTCCTCAAAGTGTTCCATAAATAAGTTAGCTATAACCGGGCTTAATGGACTTCCCATTGCCACTCCGTCCACCTGTTCGTAGAAGTTTCCCTTCCACACGAAATAGCTACCGGTCAGACAGACTTCAAAAAGTTTGCAAATATCGACAGGAAATATCCTGTTCACCAGGTCCAAGCAACTCTTCAGAGGTACTTTGGTAAACAGTGAGACGACGTCGAAGCTCACAAGGATGTCGTTTTGTTCAATATGGATATCTTGAATCTTGCGCACGAAGTCGGTGGAGTCCTTGATGTAACTGGTGACGTGTCCTACGTGTGGTTATTTTCTGTATAGCAACATTGAATATGACTTTTGGAAATTCCCTTACAATATTTCCGTGCTTAATTTCCTGGCATTTCCACAGGAATACATTTTTTTAATTACGGCAAATAACGAACTGGTCCACTGTAATATTCGCAAACCCGAATCCAAATCCAACTCTAACTTCAGCCACATTCCGAATAAATATTATGGAAAAACGGCCAATGTCGGAACAACGGGTAACGCTCTGATAACTATCGGTCCTCGTACGACCGCCGATACATTGACGGCCGCAATTCCCGCAAATAATATCCACATTGCACCGCGCAATCGACCATAAACACGCCTTTACATTTCTAAACGTAGAAATTATCTGAACAGTCGGGCCGGCGAAACAATTATTATTTCCACGTTTCCACATCTCGTCAGTCTCCGAGCAGCCGCCGTCGGATGCCTAAAAATAGCGTCCCGGCGCGAAAAGTCAAAGTAAACAAGCGCCGTGTCGAACTTTTGACAACTCGCGAAAGGAAAAAATCATTCGCGGCGGAAAGTGAAGGTGATCGCGTGAATGATAACGAAGCGTGGAGGGATCGTCGTCGTAAACAAATCCCACACGCACGCTGCTGCTGCAACGAAAATATGGTCACAGAATCGGGTCCATAATCGACGACCGGCCTCGCGGAACGACCCGAACGCGGACGTTTTCAAGTGTAAAAGGGTAACAATCTGCCATGTTGCCGGGAAAATCGATAACGTGCGGTGGAAAACCGCGCGTGGCATTTTCCGGAGATAAACTGTGTCAGTAGCTGTCGGCTGCAACGCCCGAGGGAACAGGTGGACGCCATGGACGCGCCCACGAGGAAAACCGACGGTGACGACGGAAATTTCACGAAAACTCCGGTGCCGCTGTCGAAATCGCCGGACGCGTCACCGTCTGTCCGCTCGATGACGCGCACCGTAATCGTGTCGCTGGACGAGACTGTGACGCATAATATCACGTACGGTAAGTTGCGGAGAATCGCACCGCGAACGCGCTTATCTAATCTCGATGACCGCAAACGCACGTTAAAATTAAATAACGACGGGATTGGTTCGAGTTTATTCGTCGTGAGATATCGAAAAGACTAATTGCTATTTTGCTACGTGTTTTCGTTGTGTATCACCCGGCGGGTGAGTGTGATGAAAAACTGAAACTATGAAAAATAAGAAAGCACCAGGACTTGGAAATATTAGCGTTAAACTAATAAAAACTAACCCATCAGTTTTGTTAGAAATCCTATCCAACATCTTGAATAATATAATATGGTGCGAAAATTATCATGGCATAAGCGTCATATGTCCAGGGTAGTCGCAATTGAGTTCTAACCTTCTTCTAAACTATATAGATCAAAAAATCAAAAACCGCATGGCGATATCTTCACTATCAACCGAGATATAGAGCGTTTTTCAATTTTCAATTTTGGAAATGCACTGCAGTAGCCTACCCAGATTTTTCCACAGTTCTCCATTCCTCATGGCAATCATAGTTGGCTATGGTCTTAAAAAAATGCCCTTTTGGAGCCCTTTTCAACCATATAGATTTGTTTCTTGCTGTTTGAGGGCGATGGTGCTATTTTTTTGTTAAACAATAGATGCCGTCAACAAAATTTTGTTATCCTATTCCGTTTCTGAACTACAGAGTAATTTTTAAAATTTAGCAATTTGCGGCACTCCTCATATCTCCATAAATATTTAAGCTATCGAAAAAATAAAAATACGTATATAGAAACTTCTGGATTCCTCCTGCGTATACAGCATTCTATGCATATGCGGCAAGGAATACATTGGAGAGACCAGACGAAAAATATCAACTAGGTTCAAATAACACGAAAGAGCCTTACGACTAAGACAAATAAATTCATCAGCTGTTGCCGAACACACTCATGGAACCGGGCATAAAATTTTATTTGATAAAACTAAAATTCTGGCATGCAATCAGTTCTTCTACCAACGAAAAATCCGAGAGTCTATAGAAATCTATAAAAAACCTAACAATCTTAACCGCGACTCAGGTCTCTACTGTCACCAATTTGGGAATCAGTCATCCGAGACGGTGTTTATACTTCACCCCCACCTCTCAAACAATATATAAGTAGGTACACAGTAAAATACGAGCCAGTTTCGGTCAAGCTCTGAAGAAGCCAACAGGATGATTGGCGAAACGTCAGCAATTTCGACTAAACAAAAACCGACGCAGGAGGAATCCAGAAGTTTTGTAAAAAGCATTACAGTAGCCTGTGGAAGTTTCTTTGAAAAATACGTATATAGAGATTTTTCTCCATAGAATCCAAATTAAATGCTAGCTATTTTTGTTTTATATTTTAAATTATGATATAAAGTTATCTATTTTTTAATGGGACTTTATTTATTTTTAACTCAAACCTGTATCCAATATTATAATATTTTAATATGACTTCTTATACTATTGCGGTAGGCAAGTTTCTAAATAAAACATAAAATTTAAAAATATGTATTGTATGTATTCTATTCTATGTCGATTTAGTTGTGCATATAATATTTCATCATTATATTTAAAATCAACATCAACTTAGTATTTGATAATATTGTGGAGAACGATACAACATAAGCTAAGTACACGAAGATGAAAAGACGATATTGAGAGAGATCTAAAGGTGATGGATATGGCGAACTGGGAACAAGTAGCGAGAAATTGAACGAGATGAGGCGAAAAGGCCCAAAGTGTTCTTCGGCCATGTTATTTTTGTTGATTTCTGCGCTTAAGTTGGCTAAAACAAATTGTTGTAGTCCATTTCGCATGCATTATTAGGATTTTTAAATGGTGTCATTAGACACGATGCTGATCCATATCCGTCATCGCCCAGTAATCCTGCACCACTAAATTGTTGCACGGATACAACTATAACAGAGTTCTCCCAAATTATATTGCTGTCTGCGGAACCCGGTCACAATAGCAATCATTTCTAATGAGTTGAAAAAAAAGTGGAACACTACAGAAAAAATAAATAATTTTCAAAAGATAAGATAAAACGGGATGTTTCCGTTTAAAAAAAAAACTTTTCTTAATTTTTCATTTCATTTTTAATTTTGATGTTAATCAACCTGAATTTCTTTATTAAAGGAGCTATAATATAAAACAAGAGTAACAAACGAAATAAAAATAGAGGATTATCATTAATCTTTTCTTTCCAGTTTTGGTTAGCAGATGGATGCAACGGTAATATAAGGAAATAATAATGGAAATTGGAAGCTTGTAACTTATAAAGGACAAACGCAACGGTGGAGACCGCAAAATACTCGGCAAAATGTAAACGAAGTAGTTCAGGATGTTTAATATGTTGGTTTTCAGATGACATATTTATGAATAATAAATAATAACGATTAAGGAAATTTTTTCTTGCCGCAGACTTCTGTTATTATAATTTTGTGATAGTCTAATGGACGAATCATATTTTAGAGATATTCCGTAGAGTGTGGTACAGCATTCATTAGAACCCAAACTTTGCCCCACAGACAAAAGCTGCTCTCTCCTAGAAGAAGAAGTGTTGGTATATACACTAAACGGCTGAAACGTGTTAGTTAAAAATATATACGGTGGGTCAAAAAGTAGGGTTTGAAATCTATTGTCAAATTCTGCACAATTCATATAGTATATCAAATCTTTTACTTTTTATGAGGAAAAGAAAATGAATATGGCGCATCTAAATGAAACCCAGGGAATTGAAATTTTAATTTTTGTTGGATATGAAGGTTGTAATTTGTTTAACGCAAAATATCTGCAATGGCCCATTACAAGATCCTTAGTGAGTAAAGTTGGGAGAAAATCTATAGAAACAAGACATGTCCACCATTAACTTCTTGACAGTATACTAATCGGTTTAAAATCCCTTACAAAACATTACCATTAATTTGCCTTACTTCGTATCTAATTATAAATTTAAAATGTCAAACTTTGTGGTTTTTCCTTATACACTTTTGATTTTAAATATCCTCAGACTAAAAAATCCAGTGGCGTAATATCTGGAGATTTGCAAGCCATTTTATTGATTCTGTTCTAACAAACGACTGCACGGTAACTAGTGTATTTAAATATTCACGCACTTGTCTATCAAAATTGTGTGAAGCACACTTCTGTGGGAACCGAACCTGTCTATCTAGAATATCAAACTGATATATCGTGCTCCAGCAAGAATTTGATCGAAGAAATAAGGTACAGTAATTTCGTTATTCAAAATCTCAGCACGCACATTTATTTTTTGTTGGTGTTGTTTATGATTTTATTTCATCCATCGGTTATTATTCGTATTCTAATTTCTACAATTTTGTTATTTACCATTCCATTTAAATTAAACTTGGTTTTATCACTAAACAGTATCTGACGAAGAAAATATGGATTTAAGTTGCACGTTACCATCATACTTTAACAAAACTAACCAAAACTGTAGTAAATTAATTTTGTGCGGATGATAATTTGTTGGTCTTTTAATACACGCAAAGGTGTCCGTCAACCAACCTCATTATTTAAATCTACTTCAGAACATGCATGATAGAGATTATCCCCAACTTCTAAATGTTAACTGTCAAAATTAGTTTTTGGACGATTTTTGCGTGCCCTAATGCACTAATTTTTCTCTCAATTCTAGGCATTGGTATTTCGCATTAAACAAATTACAAATTTATCGTTGAGTTCTCGTTTTGTCTCCATATCCAATAAAAAATTAAATTTAAATTCTCTTGATTTCCTTTAAATGCGCCATATTCACTTTCTGACTGACAGAAATGTAATTGTGACAATTTAAAAACTATTTTGGAACTAGCTACTTCCTTGTTCATTGTAAAATTAAATTAAAAGGTAGGTATGCTACACAAACTATGCGAATTTTGACCCAGAATTCCGAAATGAATTTAAAAAAATAGAGTTTTATTTAAAAAAAGAAACTTTGTATCGGCATCTACTTTTTAACCCAGTGTTATCTAACGGAATCAAATTGGCAGTTCCATGATCATTTTTTTCAAACAACCCTTTGTCCTCTGACTTTTTTAAAATAATCCCTGTACCTACCGACTGCTTCAAATTCGACTCTTTCCATTAGAACTTGGAAACGGTAATTTTGCGTATCGACAAGCCAGTACATATCTATATATAAAATTATTTGCCGGAAATATGTCGGAAAAATGCTTGCGGCTTTGAATGGCCTTTTAATGACAAATGGTAATTGTTGGACAGGGTGGGATTTTTTCAATGATTCACATGTGAATGCCATTTTGATGTAGCTTGCGAATCTGTCACACTTCCCATCTTGACTACCAAAATATTACCCGAACATAAACAAAGCAAAACCAAGCCGTAGTTTTAATACAAACGATTGAAGAAGAAACTAGGTCGTGACGCCAACTGTGTTTTTTTTGTGACAATTGAGACAGATTAATTACCTTGCATCTTTAATTCTCCCTTGAGCGACGATTTTTAAACCGCGGAAGGATTTCCAAAGTAAAAGACAATATATAACAACAGTAGCATAATAATATATATATATATATATATATATTATTATTATATATATTATTATATATATATATATTATTATGCGCCCTCTAGGGGTTACAGGCTCCCCTCGGGGGAGCCTGTAACCCCTAGAGGGCGCGTCCCCAGGTGGCGGATAGGGGGATGCCCGACCCGGTTCACCGGTGGGTAGGAGGGAAATAAAATACCTCCCGCGGACCAACAGGCACTTGCCAAACCGTCTGGCCAGCGTGGCAAGTTAAGGCTAGATACCCCTTATGGAATGTCGAACTCAAAAACAAGTGTATCCCAGGCGAGTAGAGATAATATCTCAGAATCTCGCACTGTGAAAACAGTCAGCCTCACGGATTCTGGGAGAGGCAAAAGTTCGATGATATCAAAAACAAGGAAAGACAGAGAGCGCATCAAGACAAAAACCCTATACGTGTCCACTTTTAACGTAAGAACCCTATCCACAGATG